TGAGAACGAACCAGCATCTACCGGTAAGTTTTTTACCATCATTTCGGTTGTGTACATTTTTTATACGACAATAAAACTAAAAAACAAAAAAAAAATAAAAAAAAAACAAACAAAAAATTCTGCCTCCGGAAGGATTTGAACGCGGTCGCTCGCCAGGCCTCAAAAGGCAAAGTCGATAGTCTAACCACCTGAGCTAATAGGCTTTGCGTCAATAAAATGATCTAATCGGTTATGTGCTTAACCGAGAACTATGGGGGGGTTAACAAACAGTTAATAGCGATCAGCGCCAATAAGATAGCGGAAACGTTGACCCGAAGGCCCTCAATAGGGGGGGGGGGGGGTTCTGACCCCCAAAATCCCCTGTGGCTACATCACTGGTGACAGCGGCGGGATACAAAATGGTTTTTGAAGATGGAAGAGGAGACAGAAAGGCACAGGAAGGACGAGAAGGAGGAAAAGGAAAGGCCCAGGAAGGAGAACGAAGAGGAAAAGAACGAAGAGGAAAAGTACCCAGACAGCACACCATGGAGGTAGAAGGTAGGGAGACGCTGTCACGTGGTCTAAGACGGGGACACTTCCGCCATATTGGATTGATAAATCCATCAAACAGGTAATTTTGATTTTAAGCGACGTTTATTTTATTTTTATGTCGTTTGCTAACTAAAATATTACACAAATAAAAAGTTAAACAACGGTCTCTTGTGCTCAACGAAGTTATAGCAACAGAACTGATGTTAATAAGAAGAAATTATCGGGAATAACTTTCCACAAGTAAGTATACAACACAGTAAACAATGTGCAGGGCGGTATCTGGGAAATTGAAATATTAATCATTATTGTACTTTTTTATCAATTTTTTTTTGTAATTTTGTTCAATTTCGTTTAATCGGATTTTTGTTATAGATTTCCTAAAAATTTAGAAAGGCGGAGACAATGGATTAAATTTGTGAATAGAGAAAATTGGGAACCTACACGATACAGTGCTCTGTGTTCAAGACATTTCGCAGAATTATGCTTTGATCGAACTTCCCAGTATTTAGTCCGTTTAAGAGACAACGCAGTTCCTACGCTTAATTCTCTTCAGGTTTCAAAAATAATTAAAAATTATATACATATAAGTGGTAATCCTGTAATTCAATGAGTCTATTTTTAACAGGCGTTAAATTTTATTATTTTAACATAAATTGTGTCTGTAAAAATTAAAATTTACGCATGCGTATAATTTTCAACAAAATAAACACACGTTAAAAGTAGTTCAAATGTACAATAAAAGTATGGTTAAATTTTAAGATCTGTCGAATGAATGTTACTCCTTTTGTCATATTTTTTTGTATCTGTGTCTGTTTATGCACAAAAATATTAAAAAAAGTAGCAGCCGAATCTACATAAACTATTTGGTAGGCCACACATTTTTCATAACTAACCCATGACTAACCACAGTACCTTCTAATAGTGGCTTTTAATGACATCAATTACTAACTACAAAAAGTTTATACAGGCTGCAAATAAAATGTATTTTTTAAAGAGAGTTTGGGAAATTTTAACGGTTCAAATAACAAATGTGGTTCAAATTGCGTATAAGTCATAATTTTTAATATATTAAGTTTTAAAGCCTACTAATAAGTACCCGGTAATTTCCAAAATTTAACGCATAAAATTAATACATTTATGAAATTTTTATCATATTTCTCCTTATAGAATAGGAGGAATTAATATATGTTAATTATGATGACAAGTTAATATTTAACATGAATTTATAGAATTGCTTTCCATATTTAATATACGTTATATTTTTATATTTTTAACGTCCATTAAATTTTAAGATATTCGTTATAGAGTTATCACTATAGTCTATTAAGATAATTAATAATTTAAAAAATAAATAAAGTTCATTAATTTAATAAAATTAAATTTTTTTAATGTAGATACCTGTAAAAGAAATTTAAAGATACATTCCTCCTAATATTTAAACGTTTTAAACCGGCTGTTAAACTTTAATTTCTATAATCCTATAGGATTCTTGAACACAATTTATGTTAAAAAAATATTATTTTCGTATTACTCATGCGCGACTTTTGAATCTAGTTGATTTCCAAACAACTTACTTTCTTCTATCCTCATCCTAACTAAAATTATTGGGTTGGCTACAATGAGGATGATTTTTTTTACACATAGGGTGTTTTTTTGCTCATTTTTTGCTACATCTTTTTATTTATTTTTTTTAACTATGTAACATAAAATCTCCTTTTACTTGCACTTTAATAATTTATTCAAACTGTTAATAATTATCCGTTTTATGACAATTAATTTATAACTTACAATTAATTAAAAAAGCAAATTAGGGTTTGAGTTGCATTATCAATAGTCCGGCACTGGCAGAACGGCCATATTGGATTGACTGTCACCACGACTAGGGATACCGTTTTGAATGTTTGGAAAAGATGCTCATAGCGTCTCCCTACCTTCTACCTCCATGCAGCACACCAAATCCTTTGGATATCTACTGGACATCCCAATATCCACTAAATGTCCAGTCCAAGGTGGATATCTATTTTAAATCCATGAGATGTAATTTATAGACATGCAAATGTCCATAAATAATAGTAATTATATAACAAATTATTAAAAACCACTGTGCCTAATAGTACCGTTTAGATATTTAAAATTAATTTTTTTTTAAGGTGTATTCAATATCCCATGGATATCCACTAAATATATCAAAGACTAGGCGCGAACGCAAACCATGGTGGATAACCACTAGATGTAATTTATACAGTGGCGTGCGGTGACATATTTGGAAGGGGAAGCGATTGTATAAAAATACAGCAGGCCAGTAAGCACAGCGCATCAGGCGAAAAATTTTCGCGGCGCATTCACCATTTTTTCAAAATCTTGCTTTTTTTTTCCTCAGTACTACGGATATTCGAGATTGAGATTTTAGAAGTGTTACTATTACTTTATTACCTAGTTTAGTACTAGAAGCTATAAAAAAACTTACCATTGAAAAGCTTCCTTGGTTTATTTAAACGTAAAAAAAACAACATTTAACTGAAGTTTATTTTATTTTTTCTCACAGTTGACACAACAGTTGACATTTATTTATACTTAAGATCTATTCGCCTATCCTCAATGGCTGCAAATTTGTCTATAACATCGTCGTGAAATTTTGGATTTTCTGATAACTGTTTAACAAGCTGTTTTTCAATGGATATTAGGGCTAAATTAGAGAGTCTGTCTTCACTTTAAATTTCGTATAAAACTGTTAATGCGCTTTAAAGCTGAAAAACTTCGCTCAACTGACGCACTTGTGGCTGGGATGGTTAGTACTAATTCACACAACTTGACGACTTCACAAAGGGACTTATTTAATGATGGGCGTCTTTTTATCACTAATTTCAGTTGTTTCATAAACAACACTAAACTGGGACTTTAATGCTGGAATATCGAAAAAATTTCATAATTTAATTTTAGTGAATTAAAAGCTTCCGATTGAAATTTTGATGAATTATAGTTACTAATACTAAAATTGCACAATTCAACAAATTTTAATTCGTTAAAGTTTTGAAATCAAGAGTTCATTTGTTGTAAAATATTATCAAAAATTTCGGCATATAATCGACGATGGGAGGTCTCTCTGTCGCCAAAATTATCAATTCTAATTCTCTTTATTTCAGGTTCTTATTCCAAAAGTGTTCAAACTGATCTCGTTTTTTATTCATTTTATTTTAAAATCATCAATTTATTTAATGCAAAAGCCAATGTCATTTGTCTGTAAAATGTCGAATAAAATGTCAGTAAATGGGAAAATCTCTGCAAAAATGTTGAGCAAAAAATTGAAATCAAAGTTTTGTTTGAGCCAATGCAAATACAGTCTGTTCGCTTTACTTACGCGGGTTTCGGATTAACAAAATTATGCAAATTTGTCGTTGACAACCAGTTCCAATAAGCTTCTTCCCAAGAAATTAGGTAAAATTTCCCTAATGGTTAGATTTAAATTAAAATAACATTAGGGAACTGGTTGTCAAATACTAAATTGCATAATTTTGTTAATCCGAAACCCGCGTAAGTATAGCGAACAGACTGTACCCTTTAGCAGCAGTAACAGCTTCAGCATCCCATGTTTCTTTACGTCTTGAAAAAGAATCACGGTATTAAAACACTGTTTGCACTAAACGTCTATTGTAGTTCCATCGTGTCGGAGCAACTTTTGGAAACCTTTTTGAACGTGAATGTCCAAAGCGCGAGTTATTTTCGATTACTTTGAAAAGAAGGAAGCCAAACCACTAAGCGTCGAAAAGAAAACTTTGCAATCTTTAATATTATCCATGTTTCGCGATAAAACCAAATTAAGTCTATGTGCTATACAGTGAAAGAAAATTGCATGTTTAAACTTCTCTTTCACTTTAGCTTGAAGGCCTCCTAAATGGCCAGCCATTACGGCAGCACCATCGTAACTCTGGGCAACAAGCTTAGAATCACATTATAAACTTGAAATAATGTCACAAACAATTTTAAACAATGCATCTGCAGTTCGTTCGCTAGTGACGTCCAAAAATCCTAAGAAACGCTCTTGAGGAATGCCATCCAATACATATCGCACAACAATGGATAACTGACTTAAGTTTGCTACATCTGTAGTTTCATCAAGCGCAATTGATACGAAAGGTGCTTTTTTAATTTCACTTTGAATGTGATCTATCACAACGTCGGCAGTGCATCTAATTAAATCATTTTTGATTCTTTTTGAGGTACCTCGGAAAGTCGTCGAATCAATAAAATGATATGTTTAGGATATCATCGTATTTTGCTAAAAAACTTAAAAGGTCCATGTAATTTCCTCGATTGGCGGATCCACTTGCTTCATTGTGACCCCTAAAACTTAGTTCATGCTCTCCCAGGAAACAAGTTACATCTATTAATCGTTGTAAGATGTCCCTATTTTTTTTACCCTTTCATTGTGAATTTTGTTGCTTATTTTTAAATGATTGCCCAAACTATGTTCAATGCGATAGGTCCCGAATGTTTTTTTTTTAATTGTAGCACTTATATTTTGCTATTTACATGTCGTTTTACACTTTTGTGAAAATTATTCAAGTCTGTAATACCGACAGAGTTCCAATGTGTTTTTTCGGCTATATTATAAAGTAGGCAGGGCCAGCAAAACAATTTTTTTAAAGTTTTGCAGCCGGTTAACCATTCATACTTTTCATAGAACCCTACGTGAAAATGCCTGGTAAATTTCTTTGCTAACTTTTCTTCTTTCGTCTCTAAATTGATAGGATCCTTTAGTCTACTAGAATTAATAATGTCCGTTTTCTCTTCAAAATTTCTACTTGAAAATCTTTTTTTCAATAAAGACCACACAATACAGACACAATTTACCACATTATTATTGTTCACAGACACAGTGCATAGTTCCTCCATTTAACAAAAAGAAAAACAACTACGAAAAACAAACCTAAATCTATCTGAAGTCTACGATGTTCCTCACACGTCGATTCGCGGTGCGAATTGCAATATGCGTAAGGCGACGTAAAAATCGCTGCCTCTCGACCGTATTTTAGGTGCCCAAACAAACTCACTACTGTCGCGACAAAGCAAGGTCAATAACTCGAAGGGAAATCATTTGGAAGATGAGCCGGCTTTTTTCAGACGCGCTTCCGCCGACGGACACAATTAATTTTCTCATGGGTGGTGCGTGCGTTTACACATTCCACCAATGAATAGTTAGTACATTTACGAAGTTTACGTAATGTTTCAGAGAAAATATATTACCTAATTTAATATTAATTTCTATGCATTGTAAACTGAAAAATATTTATTTTTAAATCTCTAAGTGTAGGGAAGCGGTGCTTCCCCCGCTTCCATGGACCGCTTCCATGGACCATAAGTCTGGCAACGCCTAATTGTCTCAATAATTTTTTTAATATAAACTATTTTTAACTGCATTAAAACGTAACAATTGAAAGATTACAACAGTTTAAACATAATGGTCACTTTATCAAGTGTTCAAAATGTGCTCCATTTGTGAGTTGACAGTTACCCTAAACAATGGTAGAATGCGTCTACCACATTTCTCCATGATTGTTTTATTTATTTAAGACCTTCCAGACTACATAAAATCATAAGTGTTGCATATGGTTGGACTCGTATTGAATAGGAGATTCCAATAATGACTGAATATACAGGGTGATGAATTTGAAAAACCAAAGTGACTAATAATTTAAGAAAAACGGCAAATCTGGCAACATTGCAAATATGAAATCTGGAATCACCGTATCCAATTATTGGCGTACCCCAAATTTTGTACAATTAGGACTAGCAATTTACGAGATAATTGGCCGTTTCCAGACTTTTGGGCCACTGTGTATATTGTATAAGTGACACTCTGTACAAAGGGCTTTTTTCAGACTTCATTTTCGTTTTGGATATAGCTTTATTTAAAATATAGGTTCACTTTTTGAGGAATTCTACAACAGAGCGTCTTTTTTTTTTCAGGAAGAAAATTCAAGTTGAAATTGCGGCGCCAAAATATATGTGTGGGTGTATGTGTAATTAGGTTTAGGTTTTCCTTGGCTGCGGGTACTATGTTCATTCGTCAGCTTAAATGTAATATGTTATTTAATATAATAGTATATTTATACTAAGTTTACTTTTTTAAATATATTTAGCCTGCTCATAATATTTGTCCTTGTTTTACCTAACTATACTTAATATAAAAACAATAAAGAATAAGATTTATTTGTAAGATGCTTGTATGTTAGATAACTCGTGCGTTGCATTCAATTTAAAACTTACTTCATATATTCAATGATATTTTGGTGGTTTTTTTAGGTATGGTTTACAATATTTAATTGTAAAAATAAAATGTTGATACTCTTTCTACTCTACATGTTGTACCTATGCTGAGTAGCATCAAAAATAGTTAATACTAGAATAGTAAACTTTGTATGAGTGTATATACCAAATTTAAAATACAGAGCGTTCCGATGTTATGCTACTGAAATGCTGATTTTCCACTTCTTTCAAAAAAAAAAAAATAATAATAATAATAAAGCATTAAATACGACACCCTATAGGCATATAATTTTCGATATCTTAAATATATCAAATAATGTATGTACACTGGATATGTCAAACATCTATAGAATATATCCATTGGTTACTTATGAACCTATACTATAGTTACTCATTAGATATTTTGCTGGATATCCACAGAATATCTTCTTTATCCTGGTTATAGACGGACATTTGGATATCCATATTAGATCCACGGGATATCTATGGATATATTTTTGGATATCCACAAAATATATTCTGTAGATATCTCTGGGATTTGGTGTGTTGTCTGGGGAAAGGCTCAGAAAGGAAGAATATAATTAAAGGAAAGGCACAGGATGAGGAGGGAAAGGAAAGTAGCAGGAACGAGGAAGAAGAGAACAGAGGGAAAGGCGCAGGAAGGACGAAGAAGAGGAGAGAGAAAGGCGGAGAAAGAAATGCGCAGAAAACACGAGGAAGAAGTGAAGGATAGGCGTAGAAAAAATCAGTTGCATTTATGAATGGTTTACTACAAATCCAGGAAACCTTTAAGTAAAAGGTTGGTCAGCTTAACATTAGAGTAGATCTTTCAGCACAACAAGATATTTTAAAAACTAATTTAGAACAGCAGCAAGAGAAGTTAAAAGCTAATTTAGAGCAACAAGAGCACTTTATCGACTATGGTGGTGTAGGTGTCTACGGCGCGGCATTCATTTATCAGCCAATTTTCTGGTAAACGAGACAACGGTTTCAGATCCTGCGGAAGACCATGTGAATTTATTTGAATGGTTCTCTATAGGATTTGATGGATGCCATATTAGCAGAAATTTAATTTCTGTTGATATGACATCCAGATTATTAAAATAAAATCACCATGCATTACCGTTTTCGATGATGGTGGGTGGGGTTTTCCGGTTTTTCCTCACCTGTAAGTCAAATGGCACCATCAATCATCTTTAAGTCGCCCCGAGGTGAAAATTCTTACGATTTATGGGCCTTTTATTCAAAAAAATATACTAGAAAGGGAATGGCTAAAGGCAATCTTACTATCCTTATTCTTATAATATGAAGTGAATTATGAAGCACTTTGTATACATGTAAATGGTAATAAAACCGTCACAAATCAGATTAGAGTTTGATTCTAAACAAAGTTTTGCAAAATTTCAATATTGTGAATTTGTAGATATCCATTTATCGTAAAAAACAAAATTTTACGACTTGCACTTGGAAAATATTTAATACTTCAGTTTTGATTTTGACATAACATAAGGTGACCATTCCTACTGATTTTACCAGTACAGTACTGTTTTCAGGGAATAAGTCCTGGTTAGTCATTTGACAAAACCAGTACACGAAAAATAGTTTTAAACTGATAAACCAAAATTTACTCCTATTTTACATTTATACTCTACGCGTCAGTGAATTAAAAGAATTTTGTAGACATAGAGTATAAAAAAGTTTTGGATTCCAGTGCTACGCCATGGTTAGCGTTACTACCAGCTATAGAGCGCGTTTTAGAAATATTTCCTGCATTAAAATCGTATTTTGCGTCTAATGAAAAAATTCCGACAATTATTAAAAATTATTTTAAGAATCCTGAAAGCGAATCTTGGCTTTTATTTGTCCATAATGTGTCGTCAATGTTTCACAACACAGTTTTAAAGATAGAAGGACAGGACTATGTTGGAAACAAGCATCATTTATAAGGACAAGTTGACAAAATTTAAAAAAGCTGGACGAAGAAAAAGCTTAATTAAATCAAACATTTTCATATGTTTTCAGTATCTGGACGAACGCGAAGACCATTTTGAGGGAATCGAGAGATTTAATTGGATTACACTGAACATGAAACCTACATATCAAATTATTCAAGAATGTAGTGATTATCTACTTCGACATTATCCGGAAATAAATTTAATTGAAGATGAGCTCTTTCATGAAACTTTGGCATTGAAATGAAAATTGTGTTTCGGTATCAGATAGTCACAATAGTATTGGCAAATTGGTAGAGTATTATCTCTGTATGCCAGGAACTAATGCACCTACCAAATGGGTTTTTTCTTCATTAAACAATATCTGCAGGGTTATTCTACTAAGGAACTATAAAAGAGGCTATAAGTTTAGCATACTAAACATGTAGACTCCAAATTATAGTCCAGCCATATTCTACTAGTCTTAGAAATAGTCCGACTATAAATTTATTAGGGCTACAACTACAGTACTAGAAAATTAGTCTGTGAGGTTTGGCAACGTTGTGTTCTAAGAACATCAAGAAGAATAATTATATGATTTTGCTCATAGCACATAGATGTTTAGTCTAAATGCTTTTCAAAAAAGAAGAATGAATAATTCCCATTCAATACTTCATTAGTATTATACTCTGTTTTTAAACTAAGAGGAGCGATTTGAATTTAAGTTGGCAATTCTGTAGACTTCTAATTGGTCAGATTGAAGTCAGTTTCACACATCACTTTTTAGCTACTGTTGACAGTTCTATTTTCGATTCTGACATTTTATAATTTAAGTTTTGTTATTGCTTTGATATCTCATCATTATTACTTAGTTTTTTATTTTATTTTTTTAATAACAGTTCTTTTCAAAACTTTAGTAAGCAATTGTATTGAATTTTTACGATTATGGATCCTTCTACATCGAATACTATTATAACAGTTCCTCGCGGAGTCCATCAAAACAACGAAAACGAATGAGTTTAGACTATTCCTCTCTCAGAAAAGCAGTAAATAATAAATATGTACAAATAGGTATTGAATAATAATACGAAAACCAAAATTGTTGATGTTATATCCAAAATTTCTCAAGCTACCAGTAAGTTTTACTCATTACTTTCAAATTAAAAATAATATTAAATACTCAATATTTTTCTTACAGGTCAAAGTCAACTACTTACCGATTATTGAAATAATACCGCAATAATAGAACAATATCTAGTCTAAAAAGTATTTATGGAAGACGAGGAGTCTAAAAAATTTGATTATGATGATGATAAATGCTATTCGAAGATTAGTACACGATTTCTTTTTCAAAAATGAGTTATCTAGATTGAATAAAATTTTGCAAAAATTGAAATATTTAGATTTGCCACAAATATATTATTCATCTTTATATACTTTCTTGAGATATAATAACTAAGTAAGTTTGTATCTTTGACCAGTCAAATGTACTGTTTATTTATTATGTATATATTTTTTTAGATATTTGAAAAGAAATTGTCAAAGTGTATTGATAGAACACTATATACGTAGATTTAAAATCCATCAAACAATATAGAAAATAAAACAGACCAAGCTTCTACTTTGATGAAGATCATAATAAGGTTTATCAACAGGCCTGAAAAGCCAAAAGCAGGTGCCTTAATATACGTGCTAATTCTGAAGGTTTGGTAGAAAATGCATTTACCTTGAGACGAAATCCGAAGTATTTTAGAATTGGTTTTCTACATTTTTTACAAAGTTTTCTAATTATGCTATGATTGTCATGGAAAATGTATCATATCATAGTCGAAAAGTTAAAAAAATTCCTTTGTCAACAAGAAAATCTGACAGGAATGGTTACAAAACTAAAAATATTAAATTTATTTAAATATGAAGTGATATCAACTTTTACACCTAATTTGGTAACAT